AACAAAAAAAATCCAAAATTTTAAAATTTTTCGAGTGGAAAATTATACCAATTAAACACACTTAATGACAATTCGGTGGAAAACAAGTTCTAAACAATTATTTTCTCTAGAATTTATTTTCTTTCCATTCATTTTCCACTCTTTCAATCAAACAGACCTTTAATGTAATTATCAAGGCTTTATCATTCTTTTTTTCAACGGATCCAACACGGGAAGCGGCGCCGGCTCACTGGGTGTGGATCCGCCCCTATTCATCATTCCCACCTCTGTCTCATCAGGTATTTTTATCTCCTTGTACAATCCTCATACCCAATTAAGGCGGGGTGGGTTTCCTACACCATTTATCGCTCCGTTTATTATTTATTTATTTATATTTTTTAAATATATTTAGTTAGTTCATATTATTACTTTTTTTCTACTTTGTTAAGAATAACTCATGATTTCTTTATAAATAATGATAAATCTTTTATTTTTATTTGATAAAAAAAATTAATTTAAAATTAACTTTAAATGGAGTGGGAACTATATTTCTCGTATCCACGTTGGGCCAATGACCCCCATCCCGCCCTCGTTCTATTTGGAACGGGACCCGCAGGTATCGAGTTGAAGGGGTGTTTTTGCCATTCGTAGACATCAAATGCCTATATATCACATTTCTAAAGGGTAACTGGGTAAATACTTAATTTTCATTGAAAAATTAAAAAGAAAAATGATTTAATTTTCATTGAAACTTTTAAAAGAAAAAAGATAACAGATTTTAGAAATAGAGAGAAAAAAAGAGTAACAATGTTCATTTGTTGGCAAGAGAATTTTCAGAAGTGTCCCGGTTTGAAAACACTTATTTTCAAACTCTTTTTTTTTTTTTTTTTTTTTTATGTATACTCGTTTTCAACTATACGTTCACACAATAAAATATTATGCATGTAAATTCAAAATTTTCTATATTTTTTAACTACACATTCTCCTAAAAATCACTATTCAAAACTTTACTTTTTTCAATTAATGATTGTCAAACTGTATCTAAAGTTGTTGATTTGTACTTGTCCTCTTGTATAATATGTTAATTCTTTGTTTAAGTCCACTTCTTGATTTTCAATGATGACTAGAAGCATGTTTGGAGTTGTTTATACTCAATTTTTAATTATAATAGATTAAAATAAGTAGTGAAGAAGTGTGTAATATTGGCGGGTCTCACAAAATGTGTAAATAAAAAGTGATTTATGATTATAGACAAATTAAAAATCGTGATCATGTGTAATGAGCTCCATTTAAATTTTTTTTATAAAAAAAAAAAAGATAGAGAGGGAAAAAAAAACAACGACGACGACAACCTAGTGGCAATTTTTTGATGACAATGGGTGGACGTCAATGATAAAACTTAATAGCTATGGGGCTAATTCGTGTAGCGGTTGGTGGGGGGATGTGACTAGCGAGAGAGATTGGAATAGGTGGTCGACTAAGAGTGGTAGGTGGTCGTTTTGTAGAGCTATGTAGAGAGTGAATGGAAAACATGTTACGTTTTTTTTTTTTTTTTTTCCTTTGAATTATTTTCTTTTCAATTTTTCAATAATATTATGAATTTACACATTTCCCTTAAAAATGTACAATTTCAGATTAATGTGCCTATTTAACGTCCTATAATATTTGATAAAATCCTCTTATCTACAAGGCATAAAGTCTAGAGGATATGAGTGCCAACATTTAAATATTGAGGACCAATTTTTGTAAAATGAAAAGATTAAGGGCTTCCTCTAAAATTTCTCCTTTTTTGGGCCAAGATACTGAATGATCGAGTTAATGGTTGAACTATGGGTCAACCTGACTTTTGGTTCATTGTTTAGAAATTGTTTAATTTTTTTTGAAGTATAAAATTTTTTTAGAGACAAAATTAAATATTTTATGTTATTTATCACTAATTATTTTTTATCTTTAAATTATTGGTTTCTGGAACTCAATTATTAGTGATAATGGTTACATTTTGACTTTACTAGTCGGAATTAAACATGCATTGCACGCTATTCTGAAATATTTTATGGATACTGTAAAAATAATATTTGATATCAATTTGTTGGGAGGATTTGTTGAGTAAAAAAAGAATAAAATTTAGGACATAAATTTAAAAGAAAAAAATTGTAATCCCAAAACTAATTTTCTATAATTAAAATTGTACTTTCAAAAATCAAGTTCAATTATTCATATTTTTTGTGATGGTGAAATACTACAAATGAGCAACATTTTTATACTATATTTGGTACGTAAAAGTTAATTGTAAATACACGAATTTAAACACGTATTAACATTCGTAGATATATGAATATAAATAAATTTATTTATAATAATTCTAGATTCATCAAATCAAGAATCATTTGCTCAGATTAATGTGAATGTTAAATTGAGAATTAATAATACGAAATTCATATATGACAAGATTTTTATATTATTTATTACGTATTAAAAAATGAAAAGTAAAATATTATTGAAATAATTAAATCATAGTAGGGTTAAAATCGTTCAAAAAAGTATTCTCACTGATGTGATATTTAATATATTATAGATGATTTTATATATATATTTTTTAATGCATTCACATTTTGTTATGTGCAAACCATTAATTAATTATTGATAAAAAATTTATGTGTATTAAATATTCAATTTATCTTAATCAAATATAATCTTCTCATACATAATAGGTGTATAAATAATTATTTGGTATTACCAAATAAAGTAAAATATTGAAGAATAAATTTTTAGTAAAATATTGAAGAATAAATTTTTTCAAATATTTTTAGGAAACGGTAAATAATTAATTAAAAGATAATTTATTACATAGAAAATGTCATCAGAGCGTTGTTGGTTCAAGTAGAGGTTGCCATTCTTATTGCCACAGGTCCAAGATTTAAGTCCCGGCCCCACAATTTCAAAATGAAAATTTGTTAAACCCGAATGAAAATCAATCAATTAGGTCGGCTGGTTTATGAAAAACTATCGGTTGACCTCGATTTTGACTGGGACACCCCGATCACACCATTCGGCCCGTCTCGTTCATGGGCTCGGGTCGTCGAGCTTCCACCCATGGTCGAATTTAATAACACCGTCTTAAAATGAAAATTATGGTGAACATAGGTTAGTTTGAGCAATTTTTGAACTATTTTCAACGAAACTGTCTTAACGATTTGATAAAATTTCAAATCGAACCAAATTATTATTATTTATTCGATTTTAGTTTCGAACCACTGACATAAAAATCAATATGTTGATTTGAAATCTCATTATAACACTTGAAGGAGAATGCTACTTGTACATTTTCCCTTACTTGTTTGTTTACTCTTTTTTG